CTTTTTTGATGTGTGCATCTATTGCTATAAATTGTCCTCTGAGGACTGCCTTTGATTCTAGGAATATTTTGATTCCATCTCTGATTTCCTCTATTGCCCAGTGGTTTTTAAGCAGGATGTTATTCAGTTTTCATGTAATTGATTGTTTTTCCTTGCTCTTTCTGTTGTTAATTTCTACTTTTATGGCATTGTGGTTAGAGAAGATACTTTGGATTATCTCAGCATTTTGGATCTTGTTGAGGGTTGCTCTGTGGCCTAAGATGTCTATTCTGGAGAATTTTCCACGTGCATTGGAAAATAATATGTACTTTGCAGCTGTTGTGTGGAGTGTTCTATATATGTCTATGAGGTCAAGTTGGCTAATTGTGTCCTTTAGGTCTTCTGTGTCTTTGCTGAGTTTTTTTCTAGCTGTTCTGTCCTTTACCAAGTGGTGTGTTGAAGTCTCCTACTATTATTTTGGAACTGTCAATTTCTCTTTTCAGTGCTGTTAGAGTTTGTTTTATGTATTTTGGAGCCCTGTTATTGGGTGTGTAGATGTTTATTATGGTTATGTCTCTGTGATGGATCATCCCTTTAATCATGATATAGTGCCCTTCTTTGTCTTTTATGGTGGATTTTGTTTTAAAGTCTATTTTAGCTGAGATTAATATTGCCACTCCTGCTCTTTTTCAGTAGTTGTTTGCTTGATTTTTTTTTTCTGTCTTTTGATTTTTAATAAATTTATGTCTTTGTTTCTAAGGTGTGTCTCTTGTAGACAGCATAATGATGGATCCAATTTTTTTTATCCATTCTGTCACTCTCTGTCTCTTTATGGGGGCATTTAGGCCATTTACAGTCAATGTAATTATTGATAGGTGTGAGTTTATTGCTTTCATTTTGTAGTGCTTTTTTTTTTTTTTTGGTGTTGACATTTTCTTTGTTTCTCTTACTCTCTTATGCTGAATTCCTTTTGTTTGTGGACTTTTTTTCCTTTTTTCTGTTTTTGTGGATTTTGTTTTTACTGAGACTTTATGTTTTTCTTCTTTATTTTGATGAGTAGGTTTTTTAACTTTCTTTGTGATTACCTTGAAATGTACCCTTGTCTTCCTAAATTTGAACCAGTCTATTATTACCTGGTATTGCCTTGCCTTTCTCTCCATTAGAAAGTTCTGTACCTACACCGTTTATTCCCTCTTTTCTTGTTCTGACGTTGTTGTCATTTACAGATAACCTCTCTGGTTCACTGTTGTAATTCTTTTGGTTTTGGATAGTGCTTGAGAGTTCATTTCTTAGGTTGATATCTGGCTGGTACAATCTTGCATGCTAGATTCAGGCTGTGGTCTGATGTTTGTTCTCAGACAGAAGGACACCCTTTAATAATTCTTGTAAGTTTGGTTTGGTTTTTACATAGTCCCTTAATTTCTCTTTATCTGGAAATGTCCTGATTTCACCATCATATTTGAACAAGAGTTTTGCAGGATATAAATTTTCTTGGTTGGCAGTTTTTTTCTTTCAAGGTTTTATATATGTCATCCCATTACCTTTTCGCGTGCATTGTTTCTGCCAAATAATCAGAGTTTAATTTTACTGTTTCTCCTCTGTATGTGACTTTTCCTTTTTTCGAACTGCTCTCAGGATTCTTTCTTCATCTTTGGTTTTAGGGAGTGTGATTATGATATGCCTTGATGATTTTCTTTTGGTATCATCCTGTATGGGGTTTGTTGAGCTTCTTGGGTGGTCAGCTTTTCATCTTTCATGATATTGGGGAAGTTTTCTATCAGCAATTCTTCAATGATCCTCTCTATGTTTTCCATTTTCTCCCCCTCTTCTTGAACTCCAGTCACTCACAGATTTTTACTTTTGATTATATCCCACATAATTCTCCGTGTTTCTTCATTTTTCTTCATTCTTTTTTCTGATTTTTCCTCAGAGTTGTAGCCAAGTGTTTGTCTTCAATTTCACTGATCCTCTCTTCCATTGTTTCAAACCTGCCCCTCAGCCCTTTTATGACACTGTCCATTTCTGAAATCTTGTTGCTTATCTTTTGGATTTCTAATTGTTGTTTGTGTATGATTTCTAGTTGTGAATTTTTTTGGCATTTTGTTCCTGTGTTATTTTCCTCAATTATTTCATTTTTTGTCTGTGTTTTCCATGAATTTGTCTGCTTTTTCCATGAATTTGTCTATTTTTCCCTCCTTTTTGTCTGCTTTTTGCTTCAACTCTTGGAGAGCTCTGAATATTAGAGATTTGAATTCCCTATCGGGTAGTTCTAGTGCCTTTTCTTCTAGTGGAAAGTCATCTGGTGTTTTATTTTGGATGCCTACTGGAACCACTCTGTCCTGTTTTTTTATATGTTTTGATATTGTCTGCTGTCTTCGGGACATTCAGTAGTTATTTTCTTCGTTTATTGACTGTAAATTTGTTTGTTTCATCCTGCTTTTTTGTTTTATTTGGTTGTGTCTGAGCAGGTGGGCTGTGAGTTCTTTGTTGTTTGCTTGTCTTTGGGCATGATACTTTTCACCTCCTTGTTTAGTGGGCAGAGCCAGTTCCTCAGCTTTGGTGCAGCAGGGCAGGTCCAGCTGAAGGGGAAGGACTGGGATGGGTTGTGTGTGGCACATACTACGGTCGGCAGAGTGGGCCAGGAATCAGTGCAGGGCAGGTTCCTGTATGCCATGCCTGTGCTGCTCGGAAGTATGATCTTCAGTGCATGGTGCAGTTAGGCAGGAAGGGGGGGGGATTGTGATGTGTGGAGCTCAGATGGGTATGGGAAAGAGGTGATAGAGGAGAGAGAAACAGGAGCCAAAAAAAAAAAAAAAAAAGAGTGAAAAGGGAGCTTGCCATTGGAGTGGAGAGATGAGAAACCGAGAAATGAAGAAAAACAAAAAGGAAAAGAAAACAGGAAAAAGAAAAAATAATAAATAAAAATTAGAAAAAGAAGAGAAGTCCCCAGAGATTCCACCAGTGTGGCTGCAAAGACTGGGGTAGTGGCTCTCAGGCCTCTAAGTATAGCCTGGCTAGAACGGGTAGAGATGTCACATAGTGCCAGGTATTCAAGAGACAGAAAAAGAAGGTAAGTATTGAGAGAGAAGAAACAGAGAAATGAAGAAGGACCAAAAGGAAGAAAGAAAAAAGAAATGCCTGCAGGGATCCACTACACAGCTGCGCAGACCAAGAATGTAGCTCCAAAGTGTTGCAGTACAGCCCGGCTAGTAGGGGCTGCCAAGGCATGCAAAGAAAAAGAATACAAACAAACAAACAAACAAAAAAGCCCCACAGATCCCACCTATGTGGTGGTATGGACCAGAGAAGCAGTTCCTCAGTCAAGCGGCACTTCACAGCCTTTCAAGAAGAAGCAAAGATGGCACATGGAGCCAGGCGTTCAAGAGAAAGGAGGGGGAGGTGGTGAGAGGCACAGAAGAAACCAAAAGAAGCAGAAACAAGCAACACCAGCGACAAACGGCACTCAAGGAGCCAGCCAGTGTGAGCAGGGCAAATCCAAGTATCATGGGGCTGATAGCCAGTGCCTCCCAGCCAGGAGACTGCAGCTGTCGGGATGCAGAGGAGGCGGAACGGGGGGGATGGAGAAGAGTAAGGGGTAGGAAAGTGTATATCACTGGTTACCTGTTGTTCTGTCTCCTGCTGGAAGCTCCATGAAGCTGCTTTCCCATACTCCCTTTCCACCAGTCTCCAATGTGGGCAAGACAAATCCAAGTGCCACAGACTCTACACTTCATAGCCTGCTGAGCTACCACAGGCTTCTAGGAATTGACAAGGATAGAGCAGGGGTGAGAAGGATGGGGGTGGGAAAGCATACATTGCTAGTTACCAGGTGCTCTGTCTCCTGCTGGGAGCTCTGTGAAGCTGCTTTACCATACTCCTTGTCCACCATTCTCTGACAGGAGTCCAAGACAGCAAATCTGTGCTACGTTAGCTGATAGGGGATCTCCACATGTATCTCTCCTCGCTCTCTGTTCTCTGTCAGTTTCTTATTCCATTTGTTGCTTGGCTGAGTTCTTTATCGCTTCATTTGATGCTTACAGTTCCAGGATTGACGTTTGTCTCTGTTTTACTTAGTTTTTTGGGTCTTTGCTGTGGAGGGATGGCATGGTGCTTCTGTCTGTAGCACCATGTTGGCTCTGCCATAACTGTAACTCTTATGGCCACATACACTTGTCTACATAAAGTATAAGAAGAAAGCAATCTAAAAGAAACCATGCGTAGGAAAAAGATAATACTTCAAGCCAATCCCGTAGTTTCTTTGGCTCCTTGCCATCCCTCCCCTTTTTTCCCACTATTTCTTATTTTCTTCCCCTGCTCTATTCCTTCATTTAAAAAATTATCATGCACACACTTCTCAAATTGTTTATATATGCTGCTCTTATTGGAAACTCTACTTAAATATTCTATAATTCAGAATCTGATCAATGGCAGAGATTACTCCAAAGGGTCGCCGTCATATTTTAAATTTCATTTTGGAAGAAAATGTAGCCTATCAACTCTCTCTCCCAGTGAATTTCAATTCCTCAGTTTCTCATGACAATACTGTCCAATTATGGTTAATGACCTTTAAGATATTTCCAGAATTTATAATTTTTGTTCATTAAAATAGGTTTTAAAATTCCTAACTACTTGGTTCCACTGCCCTTTTTTTTTTTTTCAGGTACAGAGCTGTTGCCTCCTGGAGTCGTGTTCAAGGAATTGGGATTCCCTTGGTCACTGCCATTGAAATTGTCTCCATCTGGATCCTTTCCTTTATCCTGGCCATCCCTGAAGCAATCGGCTTCGTCATGGTGCCCTTTGAATACAAGGGTGAACAACACAAAACTTGTATGCTCAATGCCACATCAAAATTCATGGAGGTACTAATAGTTTACAAAGAATGAATTGGGGAAGGAAGGAAGTTTTCATTTATCCTTCACCATCTTACACTTTACCTCTCCACCATGCCAAGTGTGGTTTCCTTTGCCAGTTCAGTCAGGTATTCTTCAGTTGCATCAAAAGCGGATGTGAAACCAGTATTTAGCTTCTTGACTAGAATACAATTGATTAACTCATTTGGTTTTTACTCTTATATTGTTGCACAACTGTAGACATAACTATCATTCTGTACCAAACAACTAAGAATTCTGAAACAAATTTACTGAAAAAGAGGGATTGGAATATATATGTGTGTGTATATAATATTTTTTGTTTTTACAGTAAGGAATACAACATCCTACATGCATGCTGATGCTTATTCTGTATTACTTGGGGAAATGCACATTGCTCATTCACATTCTTAAAGATGGATTTACTAATTCAAAGGAGGATATAGTGCTTACATGTATTTATTAGTACAGAACAATGTCTAATATACCAATTATATAAAACTACTGAACCTTTTTAAAAAGTGTTTTTTAGTTTGCCAAATTTAGTAGTAGTTGTTTTGTTTAATATACCTGACCACATTAATGTTTTTCTGAAAAGTTTAATCACATTGCTGAGTGTATTAGGAAACATTTAAAATGCATATTTGCTTTACAAAACAAGTTACATGTGGACTGAGGAGGCAAATCAAAAAGATAACTATTTCACTTAAATCAGCATAATTTAATGCTTTGATGTGAGTTTTCATGCAGCTCAGATTCCACATTTAATCGTTTACAGACATCTCAAGCTATGTTTTCTTAACTTCGAAAATTCACAAAATTACTGGTTTTCCAGTTGACCAGTTATCTTGCTTGGAGATTCTTATTTTAAAATTAAAAGTGCTCATGAGATCTGCCAAGCTGACAACCTTAAAATTGAGGTCTTCTGTTTATATATGGACTTTTTTATCAGATCGGTCTCCATAGTGAAAAACAAAGTAGACAATAGGAGGTTATCAGAATTTGGGAAGATATCCCAGACTAAAACAAAAAGAAAGAAAAGGCTCAATAGAAGGAGGAGCTTACTGATTATTGGAGCTAGACAGAATGAAATGGACTGCTTCATGAAGACTGAGTCTTCTTTATAGAAGTGTTCAAGCAAAGGGTGGCAACCCTTCAGGCAGGGGTGTCCTGGAGGTTTACAGTAAAGCATGTGAGTTTGAACTGATAGATTTTTAGATTTCATTCCAAGTCTAAAGTTTTAGAATTCTTTTTCTCCTTCTATCTTTTCTTTTTTCCCTGACTTTATTTCCTCTCACTTTTCCACTCTTTTCTCCTCAACTTTACTCTAACGTAGACTGACTGGAGGCATCTCCGTACCCTTGCTGATGACATCAGTAAAAAAGAAATGTGTGACCCCTCTCTCTACAGGCCTCCAATGCAGAGGGGGCAGGGGACTCAATCCAGTCTTCTTTGGGGTCAGCTTCCAGACCCTTTGCAGCTGCTTCCGGGCCATTCTCACTCCGCTAGCAATGCACCAGGAAAAAGAGGGCATAAAAGAAGGGGGCTGCTCAAAAGAGTTTTTGTGTTGCACTTAAAAGAGAGAGAGAGAACCTTTTCTGAATTTTTTTTTTTTAAGTTCAGAACTTAAATCTTTCTATGGCATAATATGGATAGGGAAATATCCGTATAGCAACTCCTTTGAGAGATGGTACTTAACTTGAGGACAGGATAGAAAAAAATTACATGCTCATTTTCACTAACTTCTAACTGAAATTTATCATGTCCTTCTGTCATGAATGTAGGCAACAAACCACAATAGTACTTAGCATTACCCATGACTTTTTTTTTTTGTAGCCGTTCTTTTTTTTTTTTTTTTTTATTGTTGTACTTTAAGTGAAAGTTTACAATTCAAGTTAGTCTCTCATATGAAAATTTATACATACACTGCTATGTGACCCTAAATACTCTCCCTATACTGTGACAGCACACTCCTCCTTTCCACCCCTGATTTCCCATGTCCATTCAGCCAGCTCCTGACCCTCTCTGCCTTCTCATCTCACCTCCAGACAGGAGCTGCCCATTTAGTCTCATGTATCTTCTTGAGCTAAGAAGCACACTCTTCACGAATATCATTTTATGCCCCCATAGTCCAGTCTAATCTTCGCCTGATGAGTTGGCCTCGGGAATGGTTTTAGTTCTGGGCTGATAGAGAGTCCAAGGGCCACCCATGACTTTTTCGCCAATAGAAATCGCAGACATTTTCATGTTGTTGTTGTTGTTAGGTGTTGTTTTTAGATGCAGAATCTCAAAATATCATTTATTCCTATCACTACTTCAATATTCTGGTAGTGAGTAGAGCCACCACTAGATTTGTAATTTAATTGTTTAATAAAGAAACACATATATTACTAGACCAGAATTTTGTTTTCAATGTTTTGATAACTGTGTTTCAGTGTAATTGGTTCCCTTTGTAAACTTAACGTATTTTATTTTATGCGTGCAAAAGCATTATTCTCAGAAGGGATTATAGTTTTCATCAGGCTTCCAAGGGGGGCGGTCTGTGGCATAAAAATAGTTAAGAACCCCTGCTTAGAACTTTTTTTCCTCAGGAACCATTTATGGATTATTTTAATAAACATGTTATAAATGTAGCCTAGTGGTCCTCTTTCTATATTCAGACACTGACCAGTTTTTCATGGCACAGCACAATTTTTTACTGTGGGAACTGAGTTTTTACAGTAGGCTGCTTTATCCTTAGTAAATAAACAATCTGGACAAACATTATCAGGAAAAGAAAAGCATTTCTTTCCCAAGTGGGAAGATCAATTTAGTGGAAGGAAAGATTTACATATTATCTTCCAATTTTAATTTTATAGGATATTAAGGGTTCTCCTTTTTAAAAAAGTAGAAAACTGAATCATCCCGACATTTACAAATCCTGCCCACAGGGAGATAATGCTAAATAAATATGCCTTCGGGTAAGAGATTCTGCCTCAATGGTTTCCAGGTGGTAACTATTAAGAGCAGGAAAAAGACTACAGTTATTGATGGCTGGAACTAGCTGGCTCCGAGGTCACATAGCAGGCATACCAGGCAAAGGGTTAACTCCAGTAACCAAAGCTGCACAGATAAGCCATTCATAACCTTCACCGTTTCCAAACAAGATGTCCACATGAAATACACTTTAACCACAATGGTCAAATGTAAACCAGACACTAGAAAAATTTTGAGATTCATCAATAAAGATAAATATATAGTCTGCATGTCTCAAAATCATGTTTTGGAAGCACTGGAAAGGAATTATTTGTATTGATTAGAGCTCTTTCATTGTGGAATTGGAACCAACTTAAGTTTATAAAAAGTATCCTTGTCAGGATTTTTTTTTAAGGATTTTCTTCATATGCTATTTATAGACCTTCAAATTTAATTGGGTTTTGAGCACTCCCCTTTCTCATTGTCCCATGACTGCAACCAGCGGGCGTGAATATACACACAGGTCTGCAAGTATAAAGATCTCGAAGCTACCTGAGACACTCCACTTTTAATTTACATGATTATACCTCTTTGCTTTGCTTTACAGTTCTACCAAGACGTAAAGGACTGGTGGCTATTCGGGTTCTATTTCTGCATGCCCTTGGTGTGCACTGCAATCTTCTATACGCTCATGACTTGTGAGATGTTAAACAGGAGAAACGGCAGCTTGAGAATTGCCCTCAGTGAACATCTTAAACAGGTAAATCTAGTAAGATCATGAAAATCTGGCTGAGACTGTTTGTCCTTGACAAAATGCCTCCAAATACTGTATTTACAGGTGTGCCAGCAGATTTAGCCTGGCTTTCTTTAAAACAAAAAAGAATAGTGTCTTGTAAGTGCTTGAGTTATAATTATAGTGTTAAGGATTTCTTTTGTGCAATAGGGAGGCTGCCAGTGAAGCAGGTGGCCCAGAAAGCTGGGCTCCAACAAAAAGGAACTATTTATTCATTTTAATTCATTTATTTTGCCAAGAGTATACTGAGAGAACGTGTGAGTGTTTGTGCGTGCGTGTATGCATGTGTATGTGTGTGCGTACAGTGAACTGGACTTGGAACTGTGGTGGGACAAAAAGAAGCATATCGCTTGCTGCTGTGAAGACCTTGCAGCCCTGTTGTGGAGGTGAAATACAAACATGGACCAACTGGAGAGTAAAATCACAAGGTGTGGTAAAAGTAGCCCATCTACAGAAAGCCAGGGGAAGTATGAGCTAGAGTCACGGGGAAACTTTCATGAACCAGGCCTGGGAGGATAAGGGGATTTTATGGGTGAAGAAGAGGACGGAGGGCATTTCAGGTGGAAGGACAAGCATCTCGTTATAACTTGGAATGGGCACCACACATCTGGAAGTGGTAAAAAAGAGATGAACTGGACTAGAGCAACATCTAAGGGAAGACTCATAATAAGAAATGAGATTGAGTTACATAAGTAGAGGTCACTTTTTAGAGGACCTTAAGTTCTAGAAAAGGAGACCTGGTGGCACAGTAGTTAAGCACTTGGCTGTTCACCAAATGGTCAGCAGTTTGAACTCACCAGCTGATCTGCAGGACAAAGATGTAGCAATTGGCTTCCATAAAGATTACAGCCTTGGAAACCCTGTGGGCAGTTCTACTCTGTCGTATAGGGTCCCTATGAGTCAGAATCAACTCACTGGCAATGGGAAGTTCTAGAAGGAATTTTACAAGTCAATAGGAGGCTACTTTTGCTCCTTATGGATAACATAACAGACCAGATAAAGCTGTGGGCTTTAGAGGGCAAAACTTGGCTCTTAAACACTTGCTGGCTCTGTGACGTGAACAGATTACTTAACCTCTCTGAGCTTGTAGTTCCTCATAAAATACATCATGGGAATTACTTAATGAATGTAAAGTGCCTAATAGAGCCCACTCGTAATAGATAACTCAGCAAATGTCAATATACGTTAATTCAACAGTTAAAACTAAGGACTGCAGGTAAGTTCTTGTTCCCAATAGAGAGAACACTCAACTGTATGAAAAGTCACTGTGAGTTGTTTGGTGTAGCTTGTAAATCTGTCCTATGTAATTACCATGCACAAGCATCATTTCGGCAGCAGAAGCTCTTTTCCATGTGCTTTACTGATTTTTATTAGCTTCAGCGCCGCATCCCCCTTCATCTAAGCTGCGTTTGGAAGAAAACTGCATATGATGAGATGGGCCTAATAATATATGAATCAATGTTATGATGAGAATCAAAGAAATTAATGTGTATGTACATACTTTGTAAAGTCTAACATGCCATACAAATATTTGCGCTTATCTTTGTTTGAAATTCAGCAAGAAGATCATGTTGAGAAACTTTCATGACTTTGTTCAGGCATGAATGCTTCAAGTAGACCCAATATAAGCGATATTTAGCAACTATTACCTCTCATCCCTACAATGGAAATAATTGATTAGACCTGACATTGTGAAAAACAGTGTTTTAAATGTTGATTTTAGCATTAGCCTCTTTAAGCTATGAGTGGTAACTGCTCTGAAAAAGAATTAAGTAGCCACTGGGAATAATGATAATATGATGCTGCTTCATATTGACATAGCATTCTTTATATTTTCAGAAACTTTAGTTTATAAAAAGTATCTTTGTCAGGATTTTTTTAAAAAGTACTTTCTTTATGTGCTATGTCTTGTTTGATGTCTTCATACACCCTACGAGGTAGGTAGGACCAACGTAATCCTCACTCTACAGTGTGTTGAAGGGATTTGCTCAATCCCTTACTGGAGATGATAATCCAAAACTTGAACGCTTGTGCAGTAATTGTTCCCTTTAGTCACACTCAGAGCTGTGGTGGGTTCTAACGGCAGAAGGGTGACCCTGGCTGGTATACCTTCAACTAGGACCTGAGGGAGTTAGTGCAGAATAAAAGGCACTGCCACTCTTTGACTAAGATTCCCCGTATGACTCTTGGTCTTGCTTCTCGTATGGTTTTCTCTCATTTCTCTTCATCATCACGGCAACAACTTGATCAGTTAGGGATTGTGTTTGGATGCTGGTAACAGAATGCCCAAAATAACAGTGATTTGGCCAAATAGGGGTTTATGTTTCTCACAGAGCAAAAAGTTCAAATAGCATTGGCTCAGTGGTCAAGGAAGTCACCAGCCAGCTGTCTGTTGTTTTGCTAACTTTACCTTCAGTATTGCAAGGAGGCAGCTGCTGCTCCACTCTTTTATCTTATTTCTCGGCAGCAAGAAGGGAAAGAACGTAAGACACATTAGTAAATGTGCATCAGCTGAGTGTCCCTTCAGTTTTAAATAGCTTTTCCAAAAACCCCACCCAACAATTTCTACTTAATCTAATTGTCAGGACTGTGTCACAGGACTACTCAGATATTAGGCCAGGCCCCACTGCTGCCATAACCAAATTGGGGGTCTGAGTGACAGCAAGTAAGACATGAGAATGGATGGATATTGGTTAAGCAAATATCAGACTGTCATAGTAACTTATTAATGTTGTTGTAAGCTGCAATCGAGTCAGCCCCTAACTCATGGCAACCCCATGTACAACGGAACAAAATATAGCTAGGTCTTGTACCATCCCCATGATCCCGTTATGATCTGTAGGGTTTTCCATTGGCTGATTTTTGGAAGTAGGTTGCCAGGCCTTTCTTCCTAGTCTGAAAGCTCCACTGAAACCTATTCAGCATCATAGCAACACACAAGCCTCCACTGACAGAAGAGTGGTGGCTGCACATGTGGTGCATTGTCTGGGAATTAAACCTGGGTCTCCCACATGGATGTCAAGAGTTCTACCACTGGAATGATGCCTTTTAAAAAGATTCTCCTCTTTGACGATGTACTCAGGAAAAGTAACCTCCCCCACTACTACCCTCCTTGCTATGTTTATGGATATGCTGTCTTTCTGCGTACAGATGCTGGCCCTTTAAAAAGCCCCCTCATTCCTGCAGATTGGAATCCTTTATTCCTTCCCTCAGTCAGATCTTGAAAACAGATCTGATTATGTGTTTATGCTGTGTTTAGGTGTTCTCTGGAGCCATATCCCAACTAGACCAATAACTACGAAAGATCAAAGATCTCCCAGTTTTTTGGGTTAAAGCAGCAATTTGTGACAACTTCCCTAGAATCTTCTTAAATAGCTTTACTGGTCGTGTGGGTTTATTGCAGACCTCCCACTCTTAATGCTATATGGTTCAGGTTGAACCAGCATTACTCTTCCAAATCCTGTTTTCAATCAGTTTTATTTTGACATCAACTGATCCCAGTTACAGACAATTGCATTTTAGATTTCTAGTTAAACTTCTAAATTCACGTGTTTTAATACTCGAGCCCAACGCACACAAATGAATGGTTGCAGAGAATTCCTAATCTAGGGTTTTTCTGATCCTGCACAGACATGAAAGCCCTCAGCTGAAGTCAGTCCAGGGTCAGCATGTCTCAGTTTTTCAGATCATCGTTGCTGCTAATCTTTTACTCTCATCCCTCTGTTTGCAAACAATAGATACTTGGAATAAATATGTCATTCATCAGAGAATTTAAAAAGTAAATGGATCCCAGGGCTAGCTTTTTTCAAGATCAGGAAGTGTAGAAAACATGTTGCTGTTGCCTTTTCTTTTATGTTCCCTGCTCCTGTTTTGTTTTCTATGCAGCTTTGCAGATTTGTCCGTTATCATGCTGTGTTCGGTCACTTTGCCTTCCACAAAGGCAAAGTTGTTGGGTGCCATCGAGTATATTCAGACTCATTGCAACCTCACGTGGCAGAGTAGAAGTACCCATAGGGTTTTCTTGGCAGTAATCTTTATAGGAGCAGATTGCCAGGTCTTTGTCTCACAGAGCCACTGGGTGGATTCAAACCACCAACCTTTTGGTTAGCAGCCAAGCACTTAACCGTTGCGCCACCAGGGCTTCTTTTTTATCACTAAATGCTAGTTAGTTACTGTTGCTGAGGTTGGTAGCTAACTCCTTTCCCCATACACTCGTCACACACATACACACAGACTCAGCCGCAGTATTGGCTCACTTCCAGCGAGTTTCCACCTCTAACCCAGCCCAAATAACCAACCTGAGGCCACCATCCTGCCTGGCAGCTTCCCAAAAGCATTATCACCAACTCCTTGGCTAGAAAGTTGGACGCAGAATCTGGAAGAGGTGGAGATACTATGAGTCTGGCCGTTCTCCTGGCTCTTCTGTGGGTTATTCTTACCCTGATACCTACTACCTCCTTGGTGCGTAGTTGTTTCATCTAATATAAAAACATTAAATCTAATGTACTTTCTCTTTTCTCACCTTCCTTTAGCGTCGAGAAGTGGCAAAAACCGTTTTCTGCTTGGTTGTAATTTTCGCTCTTTGCTGGTTCCCCCTTCATTTAAGCCGCATTCTGAAGAAAACCGTATACGATGAGATGGACAAGAACCGATGTGAATTACTCAGGTAAGAGTCTATTTACCCATTAGGAGATTGGAGTTTCCCCGATTTTCCCATTTGTAACACTTTTACAAAACCATCGCATCTACACTCTTGTTAGCCATGGAAAATGCAAATTGCAAAGTTGGTTTTTTTTTAGCCAACGTAGTCCATAACTGTTACTAGAATTTGTGCAAGTCCTATCTCTAATCTTGCCACTCGACTCCTGAGACGAGACTGAGTGTAAGGGTTTGAGCTAACCAAGTGGCTGAGGTATCTATAAACACCGGGCAGAACTGAAAGTGCCATTTAAACAAGCATCCTCAAAAAAAAAACAAAAAATTCTGCCACCTGTAAGAAATGGCTTGTGGGCAAGAACTATGCTTATTCTAGAGACAAATACTAGTTAGCAGATTAAAAAATCATTACATTCTAATTATTCTACTCCATTTTCTTTTGTTCTAGTTTCTTGCTGCTCATGGATTACATCGGTATTAACTTGGCAACCATGAATTCATGTATAAACCCCATAGCTCTATATTTTGTGAGCAAAAAATTTAAAAATTGCTTCCAGGTAAGACTGCTATGCAACTTTTTTTTTTTTTTAAGGACAACCAAATGAGTATATTAATATTTGTCCTTTTGTGCCTGGCTTATTTCAGTTAGCATAATGTTTTCAAGGTTCATCCATGTCATAGCACATATCAGAATTTCATTTCTGTTTATAGATAAATAATATTCCATTGTATGTATATACCACATTTAGTCACCTGTTGATGGACATTTGTGGTGTTTCCACCTTTTGGCTGTTGTTAATACACTTCATGATTGGTCTTTATAAAAAGGCAGCATGTCCATGGGAAAAAATCCAATCTAGAGAATCCTGGGTTCTAATTCTAGTTCTATCTTGTCATTCTCTCTGGATCTCACTGTCCTCATTTTTTAAACGGGAGAAATAGAAATCGGGCTCTTGTAAGGAGCAGACTGAGGTGCCACACAGATGATGCACACTGAAGAAACGTCAGGCCTCTCTGGCCCCTTCCCACTCATGCCCACCCCAAGTCAGTAGAGCACTCTCTGGCTGGCCAACACTGCTTGATAGATGGAGCTGAAATGCGAGACAAGGGAAGTGTTTCTCTTCTCTAGAATGGACAATTTAACTTGTACCTAAAGATTATAAACTTGGTACTCTAGATTAATGATAAGGCTCACATTCTTTCCTCACATGTGTATGAACATTTACCCTTGTTGGTGGGAACTCAAGGCCCTCATGTTCTTCTGGAAATGAGTTAGTAGGTTCCTGTTTTTAAGAGTCTGTTCCTTTTACCAGTCTTGCCTCTGCTGCTGCTGTTACCAGTCCAAAAGTCTGATGACCTCGGTCCCAATGAATGGAACAAGTATCCAGTGGAAGAACCATGAACAAAACAACCACAACACAGAGAGGAGCAGCCATAAGGACAGTATAAACTAAGCCTCTTGGAAACATTCATCAGTATTCCTTCAAATCCTATTGGAGAAAAATCACATTGCAGCTGTGTCTCCGGAAACCTCTTCTCCAGTCCTTCTTCTCCTTTAACTCAGTCTCACTCCCTGGGGGGAGAAATGCTTCCAAAACATCACAGGTTGGACTGGTTATACCTAAAACTTCTGTGTATCTTCTAATTTACATATTCTGCATATTATATTGAGCACTAAAAAATGGTGGGAGTTGGGGGGAAAGGAGGCTATTAAATGAAACCAGAAAGATATTCCCACTTTTGCATGAACATAGAGTTTTCACGGCCGTGACCAGCTTTCGTGACAGTTCTACCAAACATTCAGTGAGAACTGATCACATGAAATTTCAGAGATTATGACAAAATTTTCTATTTTTAAAGTGATTTTTTTTTTGGCCAAACACAGTATGGGTTTAAGCCACTTTTATTGGAAATGTCATTCACTGCCAGTATTTTTCTTAACTACATCAAAGTGATTATTTAAGCTTCTTTATTCATATTTTGCAAAAAAAGAAGAAGAAAAACAGTATTCGGGTGAGAAATTAGGTTAATATTTAATATTTCTCAAATCACTATTTTACTTTTAAACATGAATTCTAAAAGCTACAACAAATGTAGGCATTTAAAGCACAGACCGATAACCACATATGGTAGTTCAATAGCTGCTGCTTAAAGAATTTTTAAGAACGTGTATTTTATTTTTTAATGGTCTGTTCTTACAGGACATCTTGAACATATTTTTATATTAAACTCAAAAATAATGCTTGACTCAAATAGTTCTGTTTTTCATAAACCCAATTTCTTCATGCATGTAAGTTTTTTATGTAAACTCAGTATTATGTACCAGAATTTAAAGGCACACGGCACTTAACCATGCCTGAAACTTTCAGTGCATTGCATAGAAATCTAAAGCACACTTCAGAGAAAGGGATTGAATATTTTTAGAAGATTTGGAAGTTTTACTGATTTTTTTTGTAATAGTAACTCTATTGTATATATATACATACATATACATTATGCATATCACCTCATATCTTAAATCTCTTAAAATGTTAACTGGCAGTAAGACTTTTTCAGTCATCCTGTTTTCTATATACCCGTTGCCTTCCAGTCGATTCCAACTCATAGCGACCTTATAGGACAGGGTAGAACTGCCCCATAGGGTTTCCAAGGAGCGACTGGTGGATTCAAACTGCCATCCTTCTGGTTAGCAGCCGTAGCTCTTAACCACTGCGCCACCAGGGCTCCTCTTTTCCATACAGGAAACATAATTTCAAAGTGACCAGCTGAGTTTATCATGCCCCCCCCAAAAAAAACCATCACTGTCAAATCAGTTCCAACTCATAGCAACCCTGTAGGACAAAATAGAACTGCCCCATAGGGTTTCCAAGGTTGTAATCTTTACAGAAGCATACTGCTACATCTTTCTCCCACAGTTTATCATGCCAGGGATATATAATTACCTCCAAATGTCACCCTGAACTTACGATTCTTCACTTCTCTGTTTCTCCAGTCTGAACCTAAACCTTCCCACACCCCTCATGTGGTCACCATTTCAAAGGGCCCACAGTGACTTTTGCTGGGCATTTTCCCAAATGTTTACAGAGTGTGAGTACAGCAAAAAACCTTTTACTGTATATAGATATAAATATATATAAATTTGTAAATGTCTCTTAGCCAGTTTTTCTGTGATTGTCTCTGTGGAATGTATTTGTGTGTGTAATATATGCATGTGTGTGGTGGTGTGTATGGACTTAATGTAATATAATAATACTGTCCCGTAGTTGTGCCAAAGCCATGTACTCTGAGTGGGATCTAGGCGACTTTTCATCAGGACAAGTGCCCTCAGTCAGTTTAAACAGATCAGAATCATCTATGTACATAAATCTTGTGACCATGTTGCCGTTACAAATGGAATGCAGCAGGCAGCTTGAAAGAGTCTGAGCCCTGGGTTCACAGTAGGGTTTTCTTTGTTTGATTGGTTAGTTGTTGTGATTAAGCAGGGTTTGGTGTTGTGTATTGTTTCCTGTGCTGGAGCGGAAGTCATGACACTTTAAAGTATCATATTGTTCTCATCTTCAACTCAGTGTGGTAATGAGATTGACAAATTGCTTGATGTTTCTGTTAGATTTCACCAGACAGATTGCTGATGATAAATTAGCAAAACTAATCTGCTGGGCCGAATTTTAGTAAAGTCACGTGTAATATGTTATCAGATGCTGGCTGTTTGAACTGTGGTGCTAGGAAATGCTGCCCCTCAATGTGTTAGCAGTCAGTCGAATTCCATTACTTCACTGGGACATCACATGCAGCGAGGTATGCCTACAATATATGCCATGGATTCACCCCATTTTGTACAGACAATTGTCTTTAAAAATGCTTTGTTTCTTGCATATGAAAATATATATATATATAATAATTTCAGAAAGTCATATATTTCTGAATAATTACACAGGCTTCCATATGCATGTTGTTTATGGACTGGTAAATGACTATGGTTTACTTGTAGGATCATTTCCAATTTCTACCTTGATCACATCTTTCCAACAAGTAAACCTGTAGAAAAGACCCAGAAGCCAAGGCCCTGTATTGGCAGTGGTCCATAAGTGTAAAATAAAAGGTTACAGAAGCCTTGTAAGTGTCTCTTCATTCTTACTTTGTTCTTCAGAGAAAATGTTTGTTACATAATGCCTGTTGCAAACTTCTCCCTAGTAATAATCAAGCAAGCAATTTTACTTCCAAACAGATACTTCCTAATAACTCTATTCTCAATGAGACCTACTTTGTTTGTTGTACTGAACCCTTAACTTTCTCAATCATTTTTTCATGCACATTTCCAGTGCATTTTATTGAGCACCTACTATAACCAGGCATTCTTCTAAGTACTGGGGACATATTACTAAGAAAAACAGGTCTCAGTGAGCATGCTTTTTAGGGGAAGAAGTTGGACAATAAACAATTACTAACAGTCAATAAACAGGTGCATACATAAGGATGGAGCTGGAAGACATTATGCTGAGTGAACTAAGTCAGTCACAAAAGGACAAATATTGTATCACCTCCCTTATATGAAAAGACAAGGAAAGGCAAATGTATAGACGACAAAGTTTATTAGTGGTTATCAGGGGCAGTTACTGCTGATGGAAATATCACGTTGATTAAGGGTAGGGGTGCACAGGCGATTGTTGTAATTGCAGTCAATAAGTTGTACACCTGTAAAAAGTTGAACTGGAAAAAATTTTGTGATATATTTACAACGGCAAAAAAAAAGAAAAAGAAAAGCTACTGAGGCTGCTTATGTACAGCCAAAAACCTCATGGGATTTGGTTTCTTGGTTTGGAGGTTTAGAGTCATGGTGTCTGAAACTTCCCAGTTTATTGGCCTAATAACATGTTCAGTGCCTCTGTTCTACCTCCTAGTTTGATGCATAGGGCCTGGGGTCTTAAAAGCTTGCAAGTGACCATCCAAGGCACAACAGTTGGTTTCTCGTTACCTGGAATAACAGAGGAAGAAGGAGAGTCGTAAATAGAAGGAGGATGTAGAATGTGTGGCTAATTGCCTCCATGAACAACGACCTCCTTTGCCATGAGACCAGAGGAACTGGATGGTGCCTGGCTACCATTACTGAACAATTCGATCAAAGATTCTATAGAAGAATCTTGATCAGAAGAGGGAGAGTGCAGAACAGAATTCCAAATTCTCAAGGACTCTAGACTTCTTGGAACCATGAAAGTTGGATGAACTCCTGAAACTATTATCCTGAGATAATCTTTAAACCAAAAATATCCCCTGAAGTTCTCTTAAAACCAAACAGTTTAGCTTAACTAGTAAAAAATATCTGTGTTGAGCATTTTGCTCTTTTAAGAACCATCTAAATGGGATCAAATTGATAACAGCAACTCAAAAAATCAGATAAGAACCTTAGGGAGGCAGTGAATTTATCTTAACGGGGGAGGAACAACACAGAAAAGGAGGGTGAGAATGGTTATATAACTTGAAGTATGTAATCAATGTCACTAAATTGTACATGTAGAAACTGTTGAATTGGTGTATGTTTTGCTGTGTATATTCTCAACAACAACAAAATAAATAAAATGATGTATATAAAAACAGAAGCAGGTACATACCTGGAAGAAGAGATTCAGATATATCCAACTGCTTATTTAACATCTCTATTCGGGGCGAATAGGCTTGATATATCCAAAAATAACCTACTGATACCCCCTTAACCTGTCCGCCATAATATTCTTCTGTTCAGTTAGAACAACCCCTTGAGTTGTTCAGGATAGTAACCTTGAAGTCATTCCTGATTTCTTTCTCTCATACCTCACGTCCACTGCATCCGCATTTTCAGAATATATCCAGAACCTGGCCACGTCTCTGCCTTTACTCCCTAGTCTGAGCCACCATCGTCTTTTGCCAGGATTGCTACATTCACCTCATATCAAGCCTACTTGTTTCCAGCCTTGTAAACAGCCATCCTCTAATCAGACCCTGTCTCCCTACCTCCATAAATGGTCTAAAGGTGTTAACATGTTGAAGCTGGGCTGACCAGCATCCTCTGCGGATTTGTCTAATAACAAGTAAGGGGAGAAAGAAAACCCTTTTTACCCACATGGCCAAGGCTGGGAGGTTGTGAGCCCAGGAGCTGCTGGCTGCCGTTGTTTGGGCATTATGAAGAATGTCAATGTTAGAGTGTCATAATGTCAGAAAGAGCATGTAAGTCCCTGGTTCCAGTTTTCCTCAATACTTTCCCATGACTTGAGTAAGCAGGCCAATAAATTTGTCTTTTTCCTTGAGCTAGTCAAATTTGATTCTCTGTTGCTTACAAGGCACACATCATAAGACTGTCTTATTTAAGTTATCTTGATTTGTCTTTTCACTCAACACTGATATAGTGACCACCCACCGTATTACCTTGTGCTAGTTGGTGGGACACAAAACCAGACATACCAATAAATAAATTCAGTGAAGTGCCTAATGGTAACTCAGTAAACGTTGGCATAGGGGATGCTGGATGAACAAAAGAAAGAGTACTCGAAGTTCTTTAAACTTCAGCTGGTGAACATCTCTAAATGAAGTGTGAGGGCTCTTGCTTCTATAGTTCTTACTTTTGTTAGCATAAATATTATGTTGCTGCCAGGAGAATGGCCTAGTAATAAGCAGTATAGTATTATCTCCACATTATGAGCTTTATTTAAGTCAGTTGTTGTTTTTAGTTGCCATACATTGAGCTCTGATTCATGGCAAACTTACGTTTAACAGAATTAAAGATTGCTTGGTTTAATATTATTATTATGGTGATTTTAAAAATTGTGAATCAAGTTCAAGAAATAGTCAAGGCAAACAAAGCAAAAGCTAAGAGATTTCCTGGACACATCCAAACACTTTGAGGGACAGAGTAGCTGGGACTGGGGTCTGGAGACCATAGTTTGGGGGGATATCCAGGTCAT